GAAAGCAGAGGTTCATAAGGAAATCCTGAGCAAGAATGGGAAGTAGGAAGACTTTTTGAGTCATGAATTTATAACTTATCAGCATTCTGTTTCAAATAAATTATTATAACAGCAGATGCATTTACTCAAATCTAATTATAAAAAAGGTTTCCAGGGAAATAAAAATAGTTTTTGAATTATCCTTTTTTATTTTTTTGGAAGGGGGCTACTCTCACTATAAAACATTAAGTTGATTTTATTAGTTATGGAGTAATTAAATTGTGGTGAACAATTATTCACAGAACTTATCTAATCATATACATTTGCTACTTATAATTTTTGAGAAATTTTCACAATGTCTATCTAAATAATTGAAAAATTCTACATATTATTTTTATTGTGTGTTTATATGTCAAGTAAAAGTGATATCAATAAATTAAATCAATGACTTAAAATAATACAAAATACCAACAAACCTTCAAGTAATGGTCAGCAGCTTGAATTCGTCAGCTGCTCCGTGGGTGGACAGGGCAGTTTGATTTTGAAAGATTGTTACAGTCTTGGTGTGTTAGTCCCATTAGACTAGAGAAACAAAATTCATAGACACTCGTGTGTGTATAAGAAAGAGCCTTATATCAAAGAGTAATGGTATATTAAGAAAACACCCCAGCCCAGTCCAGATCAAGTCCATAAGTCTGATATTAGCCCATATGTCCGATACCAATCTATAAATTCCTCTTCAGACTCATGGAACACATGCAATGACGCCGAATGCAGGAAGATCACAGGCTAGTGGGTGGAAAATCTTGTGGATCCAATGGCAGTATAAGCATGTCAATGCTGGCATGGGTCTCCAGGTGGCTCCTCCAGTTCCAGGTCTCTAGCGTAGCTCCGTATGTTTTGTCATCAGGAATACCAAGCAGAGAATCTGTCTGTGTCTGGCCCCCAGTGAGCTAATTATCTCTGTGGTACCTCCAAATGAGGTCATCAAGCTGCAACCTGATTGATGGACTAGACTTCACCTCTTCACGAGTTGACACCAGATTACTTAACTACCATACTTGGAAACCCTGTGGGGAATTCTACTCAGTATACAGGGTTGACATGAGTCAGGATCAGCTTTATGGCAAGGGATTTGTTCTTGGTTGGATACTTTTGACGAAGATCTATCAAACAACATTAAAAATCGTCCATTGCTATTGAGTGCCTTCTGACTCTGGCCACCCTGTGTGTGTCAGCATAGAACTGTACTCTATAAAGTTTCTAATGTTGTTTTTTAAAAAAAATTAAATCACCAGGTCTTTCTTCCAAGACTCTTCAGGGTGAACTTGAACCTCAAATCTTTCGTTAGCAGGTTACTGTTTGAGTCATCAAAGGACTCCAAGTCTCCTTTATAGAATTTATTCTATAAAGTCTTAAAACTGTTGAACCCAATAGTGCTCACCAAGCAATAAAACGATGTTTGATTAGGAAAATATTAAGTTATGGGATAAAACCCTTACTGCTTCTTACATCTCTGAACTTGGTAACAAACACTTGGCGTATTGGCGTTCTAGTGGCATAGTGATTACACATTGGGCTGTTAGCTGAAAGGTCAGCAGTTTGAAACCACCAGCCACTCCATGGGGGGAATAAGGGGCTTTCTACTCCCATAAACAGTCCTAAGGGCAGTACACCTTATAGGGTTGCTGTGAGTTAGAATTGACTCTGCATGGCAATGAGTTTGAGTTTTACAATGGTTTTATTGGGAGAACTAAGAAGTAGAGTGTCTTATTTCCAAACCATTGCTATGGTGCATTTACTGTATTTGCCTTTCATTTGGAGTCTTCTGTTGAGGGAATTAGAATTAGTAAAACATATCTACACAGGGGGTTTTAGAAAGTTTTTAATTCAATTCATGAAAAAATAGAATATAAAAATAATGGACATTTTATTGCGTCCTTGTACACTTAAATCATGAAAGAATATGAAAGTCCACTTTCCACTTACGTAGTTCCTTCCCTCCACCAAAGATGGCTCCCATTTTCTCAAATCAACACAACACACTTTGGTTATAAATTCAAGTTCTGGTGTTGAGTTAATATAAAAGACAGGCAAGTGAACTTCCTAGAGGTCAGTTTGTCCAAGGAATTTTTATTAATTTTTATGAAAAACCTTTTATTGGTGTTAACTGATTTGGGTTGAGAAAAGAAAGGTAATGCTGTTTCTTTTGCAGTGTTAAGGATGGATTGTCTCTGAGATAATCAGTGGCCTAGAATTAGAAAATTTTCCATGGAAGCAGATACCGGGAGCCTGTATGCTGGTGATTTATGTGGCAATTGACTTGTGTTTTTCGTGCTGTATTCATGTATAATTTAAGCATTTTTCATCACTACCATGGGTTGTCAGACGAACAGACAAATTTATCTTAGAAGAAATATAGCTAGACCTCTCCTTAGAGGTGAGAGTGGCAAGACTTCAACGCACATACTTTGGACGTTACCAGTTGGGCCCAGTTCCCGGAGAAGGACGTTGTTCATGCATAGTAGCAGGTCATCAAGAGAGGAAGGTGGCTTGTCCCAGTACCTAGAACAATGGTTACAAACCTAACAATTGCGAGAATGGTACAGGACCAGGCAAAGAGTCTTTCTGGTGTACATGCATCTGACAACAAGAAAATCACCGCCACTTGAAACCAGAAAATGTCACCTCTCTGACCTGGAGACCTGTGAGCTGGTCCTACCTGCACATGCCAGGACAGTTTGGTGGTCCTCATGCGCCCTAGGCAGCCAAGGATGTTGTACAACTGAAATGAACTCTCCCATTTCATCGACCACATGTGTCGCATATTGTTATGATTCTGGCTTTTAGATTTTAATGTCTTGGTGACAGGTTCTATATTTGGGAGAAAGAATTGTCTGGGCTAACTCTCTGTAATAATCATTTGGATTAAATGATTATTTTCCATGCAAATCTAAATAAGATGCAGACACTCTGGATGCCAAGGATTTCTGTATGAATCAGGCATAAGAATAGCGGCAGAGCCTGCTCTGTGTTAGTGGTGAGAAAAAGCATCTTTGGAGGTTGACACATATACACACGCAAATGCAAACTCGGATAGATGTACTGATTGAACATTGGAGATCCTAAGCCATTGCCAACAACCAGATGTGGGTCTCTGCAATCCACGTAGCAAACCGTGAGGCGTGGGGATATGGAAATACTCGACTGCAACAATTGTTTGTGAACCGCAGATAATGAAGCATTCTGCCTCTAGGTTATTCTGATAGAAAGTAGAGCTGTCTCAAATCCTTTGCCCTATCCTTGTCCAAATTTGGAGATCACCTTTGATTATTATTTCACTGTCCTGCACCTCAGCCCTCCCCTTCAACCCCCACCACACACACACACACACACACACACACACACACACACACCACACACACACACACACACACACACACCACACACACACACACAGCGCACACACACACACACCCCACACCACACACACACACACACACACACACACACCAGTAGCTGTGAAATAAAAGGCTCCAGATTGCGAGAAAGAATGCACATGCCGATTTCTGCCTGGAATATACCACTGAAAAAATGTTACTTCTTTGCCTAAAATATGTTAGTGGAGCCCCATCCCCACACTTATTTTGTATCTAGATAAGGTCATGAATTAAAAAAGCTATTTCACCTTCCACAATGGTCCAGCAGTGCCGGTTCCCCGTGGTTTGATGCTTGTTGTGGTCTGTCTCCACAAGACCAGCTAGAATCCATCCTGCGTTGCCACAGTTTACATCTCTAAGCACAACTAAGAGTCTGATCTCACTGTTTTATTTCCCTTTGTTTTCTCTTGGATTACATTACACGCTGAGAGACGGAGAAAACGGAAAATCCCCTGTCAGATTCTTCGGATGTAGCTTGAGGGGGAGCTCCATGCGCACCCCGCAGCAGAGACCTCTGTTCTGAAAGGGAAGGAGACAGCTGTTCGGCCGGGTCCCTGTTGCTTGTTGTAGGATTCAGAAGTGGACCCAGAGTCAGACGGGAGATTGTAAATTGCGGTGTGTCAGGAGGGTCCTTTGATCCTCCTCTTCTGTGGTCAGTGTAAGGAGTTAGTGCACACTGTGAATTTTACTGGTGGACAAATGAGTGGGAAGCCACACACACTCAGGAAGAAATATGAGGGGAGCGCTCTCTCATTGAGAATGATCACGTCTGTCACTAATTTGTTTCTGTTATTACCTTGAACATAATTGCTGTTTTGGAGTTTGAATAATGGCTTTCTGTTCACGTTATAGGAAGCATTGGGGAGCAAATTGGCTAATACATGCTCTTCGTCTCTGGATGCGATTTTCTTAAAATGAACTTGTAATTATCATCTTCACAAGCTCTTTTTAAAAAGCCCTGGAAGGAAAGCAAAAAAGGCCTGATTGCAGGATAGGGTTAAAAACAAAACAACAAAACAGAATAACACAACTAAACCCACTGGCACTGAGTTGATTCCAGCTCATCGTGACCCTCTGTAGGGTTCTGCGGCTTTAAATCTTCACTGGAGCAGAGAGCACCAGTGGTTTGAATTACTGACCTTACGGGTGGCAGTGCAATGCTTACATGAAAGGTGTAGAAGTCACGATTCAAATCTTCCCGTGAAATCTTTGTATCCTACTTGTATTCATTTTGTGTTGGGGGCTAATAACTTTTCTTTTGGACAGTTGTAAATGTTAGGTGTGATAGTTTGCAGGAATTACTGAAGGACTGGATTTGGATGTATTACAGGTACCAACCATGCCATCCTCCATGTGACATTTGAAAGCATTCAATTAGATGCATTCATTTAAAAAATCAATCATTTGGAAATGGCTACAGTGTCTTTCTTACCTTTGTTTTCAAAGAAAGGTGCAGACAGTGCTGACACCACTCTTTCCCATCTTTTCTACTTTTGCTGTAAAGTGTTCAGTTGTGTTGTGGTCAACAACTGCACCCGTGCAGGTGTGGTAAGTGCTAACTTTACAACTTTCTCATGCCAGGAAACAATGTCATGAGGACCATCCACGGGGTGGGCGAGATGATGACCCAGATGGTCCTTAGTAGAGGCTCTATCTTCCCCATGAGTGTGCCTGACATGCAGCCCAGCATCCATCCTAGCAAGCAAGGAAGCCACCCTGAACACGAGGATGTAACTGTGATGGACACCAAGCTGAAAATCATTGAGATCTTACAGGTACGTTGTAGAAGAGAACTTCATTGTCATGTAGATGATTCCGGTTCACGAGACCCTGGGTGTCGCAGAGTAGACCTGTGCTCCATTGGAGTTTTAGGGCTATGACCTTTTGGAAGCACCACGGTAGGATGTTTACTCAAGGTGCCTCTGGGTAAGCTTGAACCCTCAAAATTTCAGTAAGCTGAAAATTTCACTGTTTGTGGCACCTATGGACTCCTTAATAGAAAGGCTAGAAAGATCATAAAAGAAGCAAACTAGCAATGGTGGCTTGTGCGTTTCGGTGATGCTGGCAGCTGTCATTGGTATTTCAAATATTAGCAGAGTCACTCAAAGTGAACAGGTTTTAGTAGAGCTTTGAGACTAAGAACAAACTCCAAATGAGGAATCGACTGTCCATTTATGAAGAAGTGGTCACTGAGAATTTTATGGATAACATAGAAACATTTTCAGGTACTGCAAACCTCATGAATAGAAGTTAAATAATGCCAGGGACAATGCCAGAAAATGAGCCCCTTACATCAGAAGGCACTCACATATGACTGTCTCTACTTTTCAAAGTAGGATCAACCCTAATGATGTATGAATGGAGTAAAGCCTGTAGGAGTGAAGCCTATTGGACCTTTGCTTGCTGATGGGGCACAGTTCAAATGGGGAAGAAACAGCTTCAAAAGTCAATTAATATATGGAACTTGGAATTTATGAAGTGTGAATCTAGGAAAATTGGAAGTTGTCAAAAATGCAATAGATATCTCAGCAATGATATCCCTTGTTCCATGTTCTCTTCTGAACTCAGCTTGAATGCCTATAGATAGATATCATAGTTGTTTGTAAGCTGAAGTGGACGGATAAAGTCTATTTTGAATTAGAAAATCATATGGTTTACTCTCTTAGGAACAACAGATTCAAGAGGAAGGGTGTTGCATTCATCAGAGAGGAAATTTCATGATCTATTTTGAAGTACAATGCTGTCTTTGATGAGATAATATCTATCCTCACGGGAGGGAATCCAATCAACAGAACTATTGTTCAAATTTATGCACCAATGACAAAAGCTAGTGGTGAGGAACTTGAAGAATTTTAGTATGTCTTCAGTAAGAAAATTGATCAAACATTCACTCAAGATGTAGTGACAATTATTGGTGATTGGAATGCAAAAGTTGAAACAAAGAGGAAGGAATAGTCGTTGGAAAATACGGTTTTGGTGGTAGACACAAAGCTGGTGATAACATGACAGAATTTTGCAAGACCAAAGACTTATTCATAGCAAACATCTCTTTTCAATAACATAAATGGTGACTAATTCTCCAGCTGAAATACACAGAAATCAAATTGACTACATATCTGTGAAGAGATGATGGAGCATTTAAAACCAGGTCAGGGGCCAACTGTGGAGCAGACTATCAATGTTCATCTGTAAGTTCAGGTTGAAGCTGAAGAAGATGAAAATACTTCCACAAGAGCCAAAATACAACCTGAATTTTGAGAAACCCTCAAGGTCAGATTTGATGTATTGAACACTAATGACATGAGACCTGAAGAACTGTGGGATGTGACCTCAAGAACATCACTCATGAAGGAAGCAAAAGGTCATTAAAAAGATAGGAAAGAAAGAAAAGCTCAAGGTGAATGTCAGAAGAGACTCTGACACTCTTAATCATAGAATAGCTAAGGCATATGTAAGAAATGATAAAATCAAAGCACTGAACAGAAAATTCCAAAGGGGAGCTTGAGAAGACAAAGTAAAATATTATGATGAAATGTGCAAAGACAGAGTTAGGAAACCAAAAAAGAAAGAACATGGTCAGCATATCTTAAATGGAAAGAACAGAAGAAGAAATTCAAGCTTTGAGTTGCAACATTGAAAGATTCTATGGGGCAAATATTGAACGATATAGGAGACATCCATAGAAGATGGAAGGAATACCCAGTCACTGTACCAAAAGGACTAGTGGTCCTTTAACCATTTCAACAGTAGCATGAACCCATACTTGAAGGAAGACGTTCAAGCTGCATTGAAAACTTTAGCCAAAGACAAGGCTCCAGGAATTGGCGGAATACCAATTGAAATGTTTCAGTAAGCTGATGAAACTGGAAGCATTCATTTGTCTATGACAGGAAGTTTGTAAGATAGTTACTTGGCCAGCTAACTAGAAGAGATCTATATTTGTATCTATTCCAAAGAAAGATGACCCAACAGAATGTTCCGATTGCAAATATCACATGCAAGCAAAGTTTTGCCGAAGATCATCCAACCTCAGTTGCAGCAGGACGTGACGAGGCGCTGCCAAGGGCTCCGGCTCAATTCAGAAGAGGACATGGAAGAAGGGGTATCATTGGTGATATCAATGGATCTTGGCTGAAAGCAGAGGATACCAGAAAGATGTTCGTGTTTTTATTGTCAAGGCATTCGACTCTTCAGATCATGGCAAACTGGAAAGCTTTGAGGAGAATGGGAAATCCAGAACACTTTCTTGTCCTCCTGAGGGACTTGTACATGGACCAAGAGGCAACAGAATGGACAGAACAAGGGGAAGGATCCTGTCAGTTTAAAACCAGGAAAGGTGTGCATCAGGGTTGTATCCTCTCATCACACTTACTCAATCTGTATGCTGAGCACATCATATGAGAAGCTGGATTATATGAAGAAATACGTGGCATCAGGATTGGAGGAAGGCTTATTTAAAACCTGTGATATGTAAATGATACAACCTTGTGGCTGGAAGTGAGGAGGACTGGTAGCACTTGCTGATAAAAATTAAGGTTTGTAGTCTTCAGTATGGATCACAACTCAATGTAAAGAACACCAAACTCACAGCTGGGCCAATAGGCAGCATGATAAGAGCGTGCACCAAGAGCAAAGTTGTCAAGAGTTTCATCTTGCTTGGATCCAGAATCAATTCTCATGGAAACAGCAGTCAAGAGGTCCAAAGATGGATTGCATTAGGTACATCTGCTGCATGATCTCTTGGAAGTGTTGAAAAGAAAGGATGTTACTTTGAGGACTAAGATGTGCCTGATCCAAGTCATGATATTTTCAATGGCTTCATATGCAGGTAAAAATTGGACATGGAATAAGGAAGGCTGAAGGAGAATTGATGAATTTGAATTGTGCTGTAGCAGGTTTTTGAACGTACCATGGACAGCCAAAAGAAAAGCAAATCTGCCCTAGAAGAACTACAGCCAGAATGCTCCTTGTAAACAAGGATGTCATTCGGACACGCTGTCAGCTGAGAGCAGTCCCTGGAGAAGGACGTCCTGCGTGGAAAAGTAAAGGGGCAGGAAAAGAGGACGGCGGCTCTTGACAAGATTGGCTTCACAGTGGCTTCCACAGCAGCTCCAGCCCAAGACAGGGTTTGAGGACGGTGCACAACCTGACAGTGTGCTTTGTCGTCTCCGTGAGTCAGAGCCCCCGTGGTGGCACGTAGCGACAGCAACAGCAAGGCTATAACCCGGCTCATTGGTGTCATTTCTTGCACGTTTGGTTCAAAAACACTGTCTAAACATTCTGAAATGTTTTTGGTTTAGTTTTATTGATTGATTTGTAACTAATTCCAAGGCTGGTAAGAGATATCACGCTGACACTGTTTAACTTGTTAGTCATATTTGCTCATTTTCATTAAGTAGATTCGTGATAACAGCTAATAATTATGCACTGTTTTGAGGATGGTAACACCTCTTTTGCATGTATTTTCTCATTTAGTATATTGACCCTAATTTGATTTTAACTTAATTTAAGAAGGATTTGAGAGGAGGCAAAGTCTGTGCTTGAATTCTTGTTCCTGTTTGAAATCTAATCAGATTTATATTTCTATGTATTCAAATTTATTGTTGTAGTAAGAAACGCAAGTGGGTTTTTATTTTGTAAATTGTTAATCTTTGGTGCTTTTGCTTCTAAGGAGCTAAGGATAATATATATTAAAAAACGAACCTGGTCTAATACTTTGCTCTATGAATTTAAAGGAGATTAATCATTGTTTATGCCTTCTAGTTTGGTGAATAAACCTCCCATTGCTATAGTTATGAAATTCTAGCAGTTAAAAAAATTGGAGAGTTGTTTTATGATTTCTTAATTATAGCATTTATTCTACATTTGGAGGATGAGACTTGGGGCTTTCAAGGATTTATTAAAATTCTGGACAGCGTTCACTAAGTCTTTCATCATAATTTACTGTAGACTCAGCTACGAGAAATGGGTTAGTAGTCCTGGAAGGTCTGTACATTTTCATATAAAGTAATTAGATTTATAATCATAAAAACTTTCACAGTTCCTCCAGGAATTCAAAAGACTGAATCCTGAGGAATATTGGCAGCCCTCCCGACACTGTGTTCATGACCCTGAAAAATCACTTAACGTTTTCCTGTTCTCAATCCGAGAAACATAGCAATTGCCTGATCCTTGGACCTAATGAGCTCCCAGCAAAACGTCGGTCCCTCATGGGACAGCCTCTAAGACGTGTGACCTCACCGTGGCCCACCATTACAGAAAAGCCGCATTTTTCAACATAATCTCTCATAGCTAAATATAAAAGGATGAGATGGAGACATGATGGCAGGGCTGCCCACGGCGGTCTCATTTTGCCACCTCTTCTGGGCTCTTTATGTATTTCTCTTTGACCCTTTGCTTGCTCTCTGATTTTCATGTCCCTGTGTTTGGGTCTCTCTCACCGTATCTCTGTACGTTCCCTGTTTCCTGTGCTGCTGGTGACTATCTGCTCTTCAAGAATGTCTTGGGGATGCTCCTCCTCTCTCAGCCTTCCTCTCGTCTTCCCATTACTTTATCTATATCTATTTTTCAAGCATTTTTATTCCTTTTCCTTCTTGGAGTCTGCTGTCTACTTATTTTTCATTATTATGCACAGCAGAAAATAAATCCTTACAGGTTATATTTATAAAATGCAACCCCACGAGTGCTAATCTTCAACCAAACGTTAATATATATTTTATTAGCTTGTATTTTATTAATTTTTAATTTTTTTAACTTTTGACATGAGTCAAGAAAAGAATCACTACTAGTTCCCCAAAGCTGCTCTGGAGTGTCGCTGACCTTGGCTGGTGGAGAAGCCGAGCTCTCCTCAGCTCGGCTCACCCTGCTGCACATCCATCTGGTGGGCATTTGGCAAGTTGACCAGTTCATTGCTAACTGGCTTCTGGTGCCTATCCATAGTGATGCTCTTCTTAGTGCCGTGGTATTAATGACACAATGTAAGCATGTGTGAATAAAAGTGCCTTGTTTTTATCGTTTCCCTGTAGTTTATCCTGAGTGTCCGACTCGATTATAGGATCTCATATATGCTGTCAATCTATAAGAAGGAATTTGGAGAGAACAATGAAAACGCGGAGCTCTCTGCCAATGGCTCTCCGGAGACCCTGCTGCCCTCAGGTACCACCGTTCGTTCTCCCTGTGATCGCGTACCTCTCTGTAGCTTGCTTTTCTGAGAGCTTGAAAGTCCCTTCTCCTCCTTATTCCTGACCTTAACGATGCTTTTAGGACAGACAAATGTACACACAATCTCCTTCAATGACAGGACTGAGAAGATAGATTAAGTAACTTGGGTAGACTGACAGAGAAACTAAAAGTAGGGCCTTTGGACCTATTTTGTTTTGTAATCTTCACCATTCTTTGTGGTGGAACGAGAGAGAGTTCACGATGCCATTGTAGAGAGGAGAATACCACGGTCCCAGGGGCTGACCTGAAAACCGGATGTCGGGCATCTTCACAGAGTCGAGGCTTTTAACTAAAAGGCGATTTTGGTGAACATTTCGGGGATTGTTTTTTTCCTGCCCGGATCTCAGAACGTGAAAAGCAGCTGTCACTGGGAAAGGAGTTTTGCAGGTGACCGTCACCTTGCTCCAGAACCGAGATGTGGCGGCCACCGCGGGCCTGGTGGCTGTGGGCTTGTTTGTCCCCTGCCTACTTGTGAACCGGATTGGCTTGCGTGGTCACGTTGAAAAGGTGTCAGAATGAACCCATTCTCCCTCTGAGCGCTGACGCACCACCAGAGCCTGGAGGAAGGACGCTGTCCGAAGAACATCAGAAAAAGGAACAAGTGTGAAAGGCCACTTTCGGCCCAGGTCAGGCGTGTCCCGGCAGGGTCTGCCGGAAGACTGAGCTAGTTAACAGTGGTGCCTGTTTCCCCTCCCCCGAGGACAGATTAGTTTACAGATAGGAACACGTCGTGAGCCTCCGTCTTCCGTTTCCATCGATCAGTGTGACAGGAAAGCTCCGTCATGCGCCTGTGTCGCGAATGTGGACGTGGTCCAGCTGTCACCCCTGTCCCAGTCGTAAGCTCCAGCGAAGGCTGCAGGCCGGCACAGCGCTGTTGTTTGCATGTTTCCCAGAAGCGTAGACCCCCCAAGTGCCGCTTCCAGGACCGATCTGGCCGCAGCAGGACCCTGGCTGGCGGTCGCACTGACAGTAGCATGAAGAAGCTGGCTCCCAGACGCTGACTTCTGCAAACATGATCTCCACGTGTCAGCGAAAGCCGAGGGGAAGCTCCAGCGACACCCCGAAAACGGTGCTCTCCCATTGACCTGCAGTTTTGCCCTTCCTTCCCAGAAGAGGTACCGCTCAGAGGAAAGTTATTTTTCTCTACTCATAGTGCAGCTGTTTTGGACATGAATAAGAAATGGCCTATGGGTTAGTTAAGCATGCATTGGGGTCGTTACGCTTTTGGCTGCGCACCCCCAGGCCAGCGGGGGGAGCCAGGAAGCCACGTCCTGCTCCTTAGGCAGCCGCACGCTGCGGTGCTGTCGCCTCCTGCAGGGTCTCTGTGAGTCAGCATCGAATCGATGGTGCTGAGTTTGGGGAGTTTATCCTAATAAAAAAAAGATACGGCACGATAGGAGAAGGTTAAGTACAAGGCTGTGTTCTTTGGATACCGTCTATAGTAATTCGGTCCACTATAGGTATGGTTTGAGTCTTCAAAAAATACTTTTCCATGCCATCTCCCATGTATTCATTTACAGTTACATCTGCACCCACATAAAACATATGCACATATACATATGTCTGTGTATATACACATATGGACCACGTGCACATGGGGTCTTCAAAATGTTTCTGGAAAAATTCCATTATCATTTAATTCCATTTGTCCACAATCTTTTACAGGTGTGCGTGTGTGTGTGTGTGTGTATACATACATGTATGGGTGTTTATGTACGTATGCATGTATGCTGCCACAGCTGCATTGTGAATACCTAAGTATCTACTCAGCTTAACTGATATGAAAGGAGGGCAAAAGACTTGTCAATTGTGTACTAAACTTTTGAGCATATTCTTGACTATAGCGAAATAAGAGTTTTACAAATATAAATTTCAGTTTAAGATGTCTGAGTGACACTCTATTGCGATTACAAAACAACTGTCTATGGACTTTCTGGGGCATAAAGAAATTAAGATGAAAGGTAGACAGTAATGTAAGGCGAGGGTGCACATCCCTAGAACAATCAACCACGCAAGACCAAACAGCAGCTTTTGCTCAGGGATGAAGCCCAGAAGGTAGGAATGGGCAGGAATGAAGGAAGGCTGGACACGTTAACCAGGAAGTACGAAGAGTACTGTTCCCTGGGGGTTCCAGTCATGTGTGTTAAATGTTGATTGGAAATCCCACTTGTTTGTAAAGTTCACTCAAATTACAGTAAAATAATTTTAAAAAGACGATTTCAGGTAAACTTAAAATTCATATAAATATTGCAATTTCTATTTAAGAAAAGATAAAAAAAGTGCATTTTCCAATTTGTCTTTGCAGCTATTGTTCCTGATATAGATGAAATTGCAGCTCAGGCAGAAACTATGTTTGCTGGAAGGTACAGTAACATTTATATACCTTTACCTTATAGAGGAATAAGATTTTACTTAAAATTTTATTGAGGTTTACTATTGTTTGCCATCTTAAATATTTATTTTTAGACTCAGTTGTTGCCCAATTGATTTCTGCCAGAAAGAAAAAGTTGCTAATTCATTGTGTAAATTTTCTTCAGATCCTGTTTTTTTTTTTTTTAAAAAAAAAGGACCCCCAAAACCTATCGAATTCAATCAATTCCAACACATAGCAACCCTAGAGGACTGAACAGAGCTGTCCCGCAGGGTTCTCAAGGCTGACTTCTTTATGGAAGCAGACCACGTACTTATCCTGTGGATCGGCTGGTGGATCCAAACCACTGGCCATTTGGTTCACAAGCAAGCCCTTTAACCATTGTGCCACCAATGCTCCTCAACAAACAGACAAAAGAGATGATTAAATCAGTGTCTCAAACTGTTCTCCTTCTCCCTTGCTTTTCTTTCTTCAAGTAATAACAGCACAAGAACGCCCTTAGTTTCCCTGGTATACATATCGCGGCATCTTGCAAAACATTGCTTCCCAGCCTCTTAGAAATATAAGACAAGAAAATACAAGTAATTCTTTCAATGTTATCATTAACTTTATATGCGAGAAATAAAGCTATTTTCTGCCCGTTGGACATATCCATTATGACTGCCCTCAAATGGTATCAGGAACCCTGCCACTTATGTTTTATAAAAGTTATTTTATTCTTTTTCACAAATGAAACCCGTAGCAGTTAAAAAGAGAGCATAAGAAGTAAATATACAAGGCAAAATTATTGTTTCCAGAGACTATTTTATTACATGAGAATCTTAAAAAATAATCTATGCTAAGTGTTTTGTTGAATTTTTTAAAAATAGGCAGACAAACAAGAATTAAGAATTAAAGGAGCTAAAAAGGATTTTTATCTCTTGTGAACATTTGGCTTAATGTTGCTTCATATGTAGTGCCAGTTAAAAATTATTATTGTAAAAGTATATTTAACACAAATAACACACATTTGCCAATTAAATATTTTCCTCATATTAAATTTAGTGAGCTCAATGATATCAATCATGCTTTGTTACCATCGTGGATATCCTTTGCCAAGATTTTCCTTTCCCATAAACAAAATCCTGGTCCTATGTGAACAGTAACTTTTCCTAAGATCCTCCTAGCTGACACAGGTTAGCAGTGGTAGACTGATGTTCTACATATTTGCTTATTCTATGTATGTCAAATTGGTAACACCATACAATATTTGATCTACTTTCCTATCCAATTGCTTCATTATTCTTAGAAGAGAAAATGAACTAGTGTATGGTTTTTACCACAAAATAAGTAAACTCTCTTTTTTAACATTGGAATCTTACTGAGAGTCCTAACATATTAAATCACTTAGAGCTTCTGTGATTAAGATTTGGTAGTGTTCTTGTGTGGGGATGGGGAGGAGAGAGGGCAGTCAGGCACACAGTCCTCCCTGCTCCTCCATATCTTCCTCTCTAGGGCTCTGGGAAAACTCAGTTGTCTGTTGTTTGTTGCCTCCGAGTTAGCTGTGACCCATAGAGACCTTGCATACAATAGCACGAAATGCCCATTCCTGGGGCATCCTCACAATCATTGCCATGCTTGGCTCTGTGTTGTTGTTCTGCTAATCCATTTCACTGAGACTCTCTCTTGCCATCACTGGCCCTCTGTTTCACTAAACATGAAGTCCCTCTCTCTTGACTGGTCTTTCCAAGGATGCATCTAAAGTAATCATGTTGGACAGTGTTCTATTGTGATCAGTAAGGAATTGATTCTGGTTCACAGTGATCATATCTAGTGTTGCCAATACCGTAAATCTTTATAAGCATGCACAACCTCATTTTTCTCCCATGGAGCACTTGGTGCTTTAGCAACCTTGTACCATGGCTGACCCTACTGGTCAATAAGTGCTTTTGGACTGATTCGGAGTCCTAACTTTACCTATGCCTTTGGTATATCTGAATTATGGTGTTGTGAAGAATAATGTAAGTACCACAGATTGCCAGAAGAACAAACAAATCTGCCTTGGAAGAAACATAGCCAGAATGGTCCTTAGAAGCAGGGATGGCAAGACTTCTTCTCACTTACTTTGGGTATGTTATCGTGAAGGACCAGTCCCTGGAGAAGGACATCTTGCTTCGTTAAGTAGAAGGGCGACGAGAAAGAAGAAGGCCTTCAATGAGATGGATTGACATAGGGGCTGCCGCCATGGGCTCAAACCTAACGATTACGAGGGTGACACATGGCGGGTCGTTGTTGAGTTCTATAGTATACAGAGTCATGGAGTCTGAACCAACTCATGGCGCCTAACAACAACCTCGCTACCGAGGTGACCAAGTCATCTGGTTTGCTCTGAACCTGCCTCGTTTAAGGACTGAACGTCTCCCATTTGGAAATCTCCGTCTCAGACAAACTGAAAGAATTGGCTACCCATGCTGTCAAAGACAAGTACATTTTTTGCATGTCCTTGCTCATCAATAAAATGAAGAGGTGTGTATGTGTGTGGGGATAAATATGGCTTCTTCTTTAATGTTCTAAGTCAGGAAAACAGTCTTATAAGTTTGATACTAGACTTTATAAAACTGTTACTTTAGAACCATTTTTGTCTTTCTAGAAAGGAAAAGAATCCAGTTCAACTTGACGATGAAGGGGGCAGGACATTTTTACGTGTGCTTATCCACCTGATCATGCACGACTATCCGCCTTTGCTCTCAGGAGCCCTGCAGCTACTGTTCAAGCACTTTAGCCAGAGAGCAGAAGTGTTGCAGGCGTTTAAACAGGTACAACTGAGGAGCCCTCCATGGTTCCATCCAAGAAGCTTTGGATATTGTTCATAACATTCAATCTGACCTTGTGGTTACAGAGTTTATGTGACTAGTGGCTTTTCCTAGGCCACCCCTCCCCCCTTTTTTGTCCCTTTTTAAAGATAGGTATGGCCTTGACTGATACTGGAACATGATCTGTTTCAGGGAGAAATCACTACAAGTGATTGTTAGCTAGTATCTTTAATATGAGTGAAAGTATCTTTAATATGAGTGAAAGGCATTAGGATTCAGGGGATAATACCATGCAGGTATTTTGTTGCCAGGGCTTTTATTTTGATGCCAGCTTTATATTGATCATCTTGGGTAAGGCATGCGGCAGTCCTGAAATACAGGTTATCAGAAAACCAACCTCACTGCTGTGGAGTCGATGCTGACTCAGAGCGACCCTCGAGGACAGGGGACAACTGCCCCTGTGAGTTTCCAAGACTGTCACTCTTTACTGGAGGAGAAAGCCTCGTCTTTCTCCCAAGGAGTAGCTTGTGGTTTTGAACTGCTGACCTTGCAGTTGGCAGTCCAAAGCATAATGACTGCACCACCAGAACTCCCTTGCATAAGTCCTAGATAAGATAACTGTTATGGATGTCATATTTTATTTTTTATTATTTAAACATGACAGTCATCTTTAGGCTATTAAGTAGTAAAGACTATGTGCTTATATGCATCTCATTAATATTTCACTTAATACATTAATCTTCATTAGAAAGTTTTACATGACTATATTAAAGAATGAGAAATAGCTAGGTTAGTCTTATGCATATATAAATATATATCTATGAGGAGGCTTCAAAAAGTTTGTGGAAAAAAATCCACTATTTTTCAATTATAGTTTCCCATGAACTTTTAGAGTACCACTCACAATTATATATATGCTAATATACCTATTATAACAAAATTAATTTAATATCATAAATTATATTGCATCTGTTTCTATTTTATTTTCACTTATTTTTATATTTGCGACTCTTTACAGTCTCAGATAATTAACTTAAATAGAGAAATTGGGCCTATCTTTTATCTCATATTGCTCTTGAGTATCCTGTAAAGTTTTAATATATCTCATTTTAAAAAATACCCTTTCTATCATGTGAATATATGTATATATTGATCATAGTTCACAGCTAGATAAATTTTCTTTTTTTAATGCTTTTATTGGGGACTCTTATATCTCATCACAATCCATACATTCCTCCAATGTATCAAGCACATTTATACATATGTTGCCATCATTTTCAAAGCATTCTCTTCCCACTTGAGCCCCTGATATCAGTTCCCTATTTCTTCCCCTTCCCTTCCCCGTTGTCCTCCCTCCCTCACAAACCCTTGATAAATTCCAGGTACATTTTCATGTTTGATATACATCTAAAATAATAATGAAATGTCCAGAAATATTAAACCTCAACTAAGAGACAAACACGCTTAAAGACTTGGGAATTTAGAGGTAAACGAAATAGCAAGAAAATAAATTCTGTAAATCCACTAAGGGGTTGAAATTGTTGTTTTCAGGTGCAGTTACTGGTGTCCAACCAAGATGTGGATAATTACAAACAAATCAAGGCGGATCTGGACCAGCTCCGACTGACGGTGGAGAAGTCAGAGCTGTGGGTGGAGAAGAGCGGCAGTTACGAGAATGAAGACATGGGCGAGAGTCAAGGAAAGGGTGGCGAAGAGCCCATTGAGGTTGGTTTTCAAGATTAATTTTGAAATGATTCATCTGTCTTCTAAATCATATATGTAACTCTAGGTCCTACATTTAAATTATTTGGAAAGAAAAATGTTGTTTTGAGTAAAAGTGCGTAAAATTTTCAGTTGTAGGTCAATTAACCCCCTCAATCTGGTCCTTGGGTTATTTTTATTGATTTCTATCACTCATATTGCTTCTCTGGAGTTTTTAGCTTCTTTCCTTTCCATTTAAAATTTTATGATCCAGGAGTCAACAATAGGAGGGAGTGTGAGGGAGGAAAATGGAAAGAATAATAAGCCGAGATTTGTGGCGCCAGATGGGTTTTAGTTGTCACTCAATGCTGGGGTTACTTTCTGTGAACCTGAACATCATTCCTTATATTATTGTAAATCCTTATACAATATTTTTAAAAAATCTAAATGTTACCAACATAGAAATACAAAAAAGCTATATTTGACCGAAAGAAGGAAGGGTAACTTGATCCTAAATCTCTGTTTTTGGATTAATTAGCCTTATAGTTAATCTGTGTGTTTGACTAACTACACATGCTGATTGTTTTCTTATTAACAGCATTTTAATGATCATGCTTGGGTAAGCAAACCAGCACAACAGTTACCATCCACGATATGCGGAGCTTTATAAATGTCTCGTATTTTACTTACATTTTTTTAATCCGAGGAAATATGAACAATTGAAAGGTTTGCTTACATTAGAATTTGTATGTGTTGGAATATCCGAAATATTCTATTTCAGTGGGCATTGAACTAGTGGGATGCTATTTCTTATGTAGTCCAGATCTGACGCTACAGGAGTTTTGACAATCTTTTAGGGCATCCATCTGTGATTTTTAAATGTAAGATCGTAGAAGGTGGAATTTTACTTCATGGAAAATTGTTTTTGGAGCATAGAATTCTTTCATAAAATGCTTAGGTGATGAGAGAAAGCATACATTTACTTAGCACTTACTTTACACCAGGGACTAGATATTTGCTTAGAATGATTTGAAAGTTGCCATATTTGAGGACACACCAAATGTTTAGGGACAAGGAACCCTTTCCCAGGCATCACTCAGAAGGCTTTGCCTGTGTCTCCTTGGCCAAAATAAGGCCATATGTTTATTTCTAAACAAATAGACCATAGGATTATTTTAGCCATAATATCATAGGCTCCTAAAACTAGAATATCCTTCTCTGAGTTTCAGGACGAAGTTGGGATATGCTAGACAAATGCAGTGTTAAATTAGTGACTGGTATAATTATTTGTATGTGTTATTAGTCTGTTTATTATGGTGGTTTAGGAATTGTTAAATCTAAAAATAAAAAGATTTGTAGGAGTAATCAAATCCAATTCTTTATGTGATATTTGTATTTCTCAAACTATCTCATCAAAGAGAGGTACCTTTTTTCCCAACAGTTTTATTGGCACATAATTTACATAGCATACAATCGAATAGTTCAATTGTTCAATCATATTACAGAGAATTGTACAATGATCACCACATCATTTTTGAGCCCCCCCCCAGGTTAAATGTCCATTAAAATGAGTTGTACAATCACATCCATTCTAGTGCTCCCTCCCCACTTCCATGTTTATTATTTACTTCCGAAATCCCTTTTACCTCCCTATCACACACCCCCCCCCATCCCTGTATTGCCTGTATCCCCTTGTATTGGTTATCATTACTGTGCCTCCACTCCTTCAGTGCCTCACTGCTGGGAAACCCAACGGACAACAATAAAAACAAAATGGCTTTCAGATGGTAAAGATAAAATCATAACAGTACAAAGACAAAATTATAAACAATGGGTAAAAGACCCCCCATCAGCATTCACTAAGCCAGGGAAGAAATTTCTGCCATGGCACAAGTAAGAGATACTTGCCCCCTGCACAGATTCAGATTGCGTCTCTATGGAGGTCACTTTGATCCAGCATAATCAAGATTACAATGGTCTCTGCCTGATAGTAAGGCTGTTCAAGACCCTTGCAGGTGGCTAGAGGATCTACCAGTGCTCAGTCTGACTCGATTCTCTGCAGACGGGTTTCGGGCTTCGTGATTCCCCAGAACCCTCCACAAATGGGTGTTTATAATTTTAGCTTGATGCTTTTCCCTTCACCATGTTTGAATTTGTAATTGTCATCTTTGGGTCTTCCAGGATGGTGTGCTTTTTTCCGTGTGGACTTAGTGGACTCCTTGCCTAGATGACTGCTTGTTTGAATACAAGCCTTTAAGAACCCAGACGCTATTCCCATTGTTGGCCAGGTGCCATCTGCTTTCTTTGCCGCACTTTGCTGTAGCACCCTTATCTCCAGTGATCATTTCATGAAGGTATCAAACAGAGCCATGATGTAAGAACCGATTGTTCTTAAGTTGTAGCTAGGATTTAGTGCAAGCCCAAAACTCATGCATGGATCTATGCTTTTTAAAAAATTTTCAGTAACTTGGGAGTTAATACATATAGTATATCATTCCATAGTTCAAACATGTGAAACATAATTGCACAATTGCTTCCATAATCAGTCTCCGAACATACTTTTCCTTCCTGGACTTCTTGACATCATCAAAGTGAGAGACTTCTTAAAACTAAGTAGAAACTTCTTGGAAATTCAGAATCTTCTGAGGTAGTATATTCTATTAAAATTGATGCATACCACAAAAATAGAACATTAATAGTATCTTTAAACCCCTGGAGTTTCTCCCTGTTTCCCAGAAGAAATCGCTATTATGAATTTCAGTCAACCACCCCTAATTTTTAAAATGGTTTTACTAAATACTGCTATATCTGTATTTCTAACAAATATGATATATGAGAAATGCTTCCATTAGTTTGTTTGAGAGAGGCTTCGTTATCATCCTTACTGATGGATAGCTGCAATTCGTATTTTCTTTTCTAACAACTCTTATCCCATGTGTTCATTTGTCTATTCATTTTACTGGAATTTGGCTTCTTTCAAATTCTAATTTATTCTTTGCTATTGAAAATAATAGTACTGTGCTATGAAAATCCCTGTATCATCTGCTGTTCATACTCAAGAGACTCTCTTGAGCATGTACTTCAGACAGGCCCTACCATCACCTATACCAGACAGTGTCAGTTGTTTTTCCAAAGACCAAGACACATGCGCTCCTGGTTAGAGGGTCTTAGTAGCTTCCTGTCCACTATAATGCTATTTTCTTACATCTGATAATCAGGTGCATTATTTAATCTCCATTAGGATTTTCATTTTGCTGAATTCCTAATGAGGTTGGCCATGTTTTCCTATGTTTATTACATGTTCCAATGAGTCATTTTTCACTTATAACAATCTCATGTGACAGAATAGAACTTCCTCAGAGGATTTTCTTGCTGTAATCTTTTCTATTTTAAGATCTTTTTATGGGGGGGGGAAATCTTACAGCTCTTATAATATTCCTCGGGTTACCAGGTTTTCTCCAATGGAGCCATTGGATTTATTTGAACCAGCCATCTCTTGGGTAGAAATCACACACTTCCATCTGGGCAAATAGTGAGATATTACTAATTCATGTATAATTCATGTGTAGATTAGAGATTCTTTCATGATTTCAAGTGATGACTCAAACGTGAATGTAATATTATCACTCCCCCCACCCCACCTCCCCCAACTGACTTACTGTGTTGGCCGGAATCTCCAGGACAATGTTGTGTAGAGTGTGATAGTGGACATCCTTGCCTGAGTGCTGATTTTAAAAGGGATGATTTTAAGATTTCACAATTAAACATGAAGTTCACTCTGACTTTTTTGGGTAGATATCCTTTATCAATTAAGGACATTTCTAGTGTGCTCATTTCTACAATGTACATTGTAGACTTTCAATGAATACAGCTTTTGCATATGTTGAGGTTTTCCCCATTAATTCACTATTTTTTATCAGACAAATTAGAAACAGAAAATGATATAGGAAACAATTCCCTTTTTGTGTAAGACTGGAATTATCTTTCTTCTAAATGTTCAGTAAAACTCGTTTGTAAACTGACTGGTCTTTGTATTTGCTTTGTAGGAAGATTTTAACTACTGGCTTTCATTTTAAAGTAGCTATAAAATAATTAAAAATGTTCACTTTTGTGACAGTTTATGTGTATATTCCTAGTTATAGAATTTCCTAATTTGTTGGCACAAATTTATTTCTCTCTCTCTTTATCCTTTTCATTTTTGCTGTATATTAGTTTTATAACCTTTTGCATTCTTGAAGTTGTTTACTTATATCTTTCTTTTCCCCTCTATCTCAATCTTCCTAAAGCTTTAAGTATTTTATTCATCTTGTTAAGAGCTTATTTTTCTCTTTGTTGAACTTCTGAGTTTGGTATTTTATTATTTTTCTTCTATTCTTTAATTTTCAAATGGCTAGCATATACATTTAAGAGTTTTTCTTTATTTAAATAGCTAATACTATAATTTCTATCTGTAGGTCTATAGTCCACAATTTTAATAAATGGCATTTTAACGAATGACACTGTCAATTATTATCTTAACATTTTCATTATGATTTCTTTTTGGCTCAGAATTAGTTGGAGGTGAATTTTAAATTACCATACATATTACTTTTGCTTTTGTTACTGAATTTTTGATTAATTAAATTGTGGCAAAAGAATATAGTTATAGATATTAGTTTTCCAAAATCTTCTACTTATTTACCAAATTTTTTTCTTCACATACCAATGAGTGAGAGAGATTTGTTGACTTTTTAAACTACAATGGTAGCCTTCTTAGTTTCTTCTTGCAGTTGTATTGATTTTTTTAATGTTGATGCTTACAAATTTAAATCTACTCTTTTTTACTGGGGTCTATTGAACAGTGGTTGTTTAATTTTGCAATTCCAATTAAATTATGTAAAACGTTTTCTTTTCTTCCATATCTATGATTTTATTCTTATTTTTTCAAATGTGTGAATTTGTGCTATATGTTAGATAATTTAGTTAAACTCATCCTGGTCTCTCTTTAGGAATATATTTAAATTTCTTTTGATGTATCTACTGAA